TTTTTGAAATCATAGCGATATGTGAAACACGTGCGCTAAACGTCACGTCGTCCGTCTGTCGCTTTATCAAGAATCCTATTTTATATCTGCTGCACTGGCAGCACTACTAGTAGTAGTATCTTTTACCTTAGTCAGCCAATATCTCGCATATTGGCAGTTCTCAATTTTCATCGTTCATTTCTGTGCATAGTAATCTTAACAATATCAAATAAAACTTAGACACATCAATGTTTTGTTTTTAATATAAATAATTGCGTATTAAAAATGATATAAAAAATATACCATATAAAATGTTATATCTTAGAAAATCGTCTTGTTTCTTAATCTAAACTATTTTGTATACAATTGCATAAATTTTTAATAAATAATAAGAAATATAATTTTGTATTAAAATAAGTTATATACTATATATTATTACAGTCTACAACATAGTCACAAAATCTAATATTAAGAAAAACCCCCCACCTGCCAGTACTTATTATTAACGAAAAATAATATTAATTTTTATGAGACATTTTATCAATAAAAATTTTTACACACGGAAGGAAAATGTAGCTGCCGTAGCTAAAAACTGTACGTGACAACTAAATTTCGGTTGTAAAATATAGGCAGCTAATATCTGTAGTTATGGCAGCAAAATATTTTTAGCAAACCATAATTAGCTACGGTAGCGAAAATTTGTTTTCAATGTAATCACAACTATTTGACTTTTGCTACATTAAAATTGCATGCATTGCAGCATTTCTAAGCAAACTTATCTTCTTGCAGCTTCCGATCCTTTTGTGCTCACCTTTTAGTCGTTGTCTACATTTAACCAAGTGAAGTGCCTTGAAAATAATAAAACGCCATATTTCAAGCAAGCTCCTATCGTTGAAGCAGTTATGCAAATTTCAAGAGCGACCTCCTCTACTTGAGATCGTAAGAGCGAAGAGCTCTGCCAGTGACATTTTTAATTATTCAATAAAAACTCGATCGTGGATATAAACTTAAAATGTTCATTGTTATATTAATTTTGTTAATATTTGATTACATTTGTCTTGTATTGATGTGCAATCTTTGTCATTGTCATAAATCGTAAATCATAAAAGTATCTTTATATATTGAAATACCTAAAATAAATTGTCAAAATGAAAGTTATTGAAATTCTAGTTGCGATGCAAACTTGTATTATAATATATTTTGTAATATATTATATAAAATTATATTTATATCTTTTGTTTTCAAAATTCAAAATTACGATCATAGATTTTACCATAGATTTTATGTTCATATTTTTATTACGTTTCTCAATTGCGTAATATTGAAAAAATACTATGTCTTTATTTTTCTCTGATTTAAATTGCAAACCTTTTATTGTATTAAGCTGTAATACCAAGTGTGCTGTATAACTCATTGAATTGGGTCTCTCTAACTTACATTTTTTCAAAAATATCAAATAATCACAGAAAGTTCGTGTTCTACGGAGTCAGATATTAATGCTATCTTTTACCTCTTTAATTTCCTAAAAATATTGTTTGGGGAATGGAAACTCAGATACAAATTTCAGTATTATATTTAATCGTATACATACATGTTGGAATTAAAACAATTTGTTATATCATTGACAGGATAATTATTAATTTTGCAATTTTAATAACAAAGACAAGCAATTGTTTAAATACATTTTTAGTTTGTGAAATTATCTTACTTTTTCGAAACTTAAAATGTTTATTTGCTTAAAAAATATAATAGTTTAATAAGAGTGCCTTTTTATATTTTGCAAAATATATAATAATGTGATTCCTTGTATACTATGTATGAAACAGGTGTAATAATTTCGCTTTTTATATTGCGTCACAAAGAATGATAAAACACGAATCTAATAAATCCGTAATGAGCGCAATCAGAGCGGTATCACGTAACCACATGTTACGGTCCTCGCGACAGAAGCAATTGTGTCCGCAATACCACTTCTCATAGGCACAAATCTATGACATATTCCCGACTGTTCCCCAATTTGCCTCCTCCATGATTGTAAATCACAGCAACAAGTCTCTAACTAGTTGTCTAATGCGAATGCCGATATGTACTTACAATTAGTTCCAATCCAGATCTTTCATTGACCAGACATTAATAAAGAAAACAATTAACATTATTGCTCATGTCTAGAGAAATAAAAATTATAAAACTTCTGATAAACTCTCCTCTCTTTTGCGTGTACATACGTGGTATGGACTGGGGGAAGTTAAAAATAAAGGATAATGATTTTATGCAATACATAATTTTTCTTTGAGTGTACAATGAGTATGTACAAGTCTCAAGAGTAAAATTAGCGATCAACTTGTCATTCGATTAACCGTTTTCTCTGATTTCCAGCGCTGCGCGCCGTACTTTTTCTAGCTTTTCACCCCGCATTGTGGCAATTACCGGCATGCCGGCGAACGGCGGAGTCAGCTAAACAAAAGACCGTTAAAGCTATCCCCGATATCCGCATCCTCCGTTTCCGCCCGATCTCGTTTATTTCATATCAACCTTTTCCATCAGCTTCATCAAGTGTTTCTTTTGTGCCGCCTTTCTTTTCTGATCGCTAGAATGAATCGCACAATTTTACAATTGTCTTATTCCTCTCCTCCTCCTCTCTCTCTCTCCCTGAATATTATTATAAAGTTGCAACAGTTTGAATATTGTTCTATGCAGTCAAATTATTTTTAAGCAACTTTCAATCAGTTTTATAGTATAATAGGTATTCTCGGGTGATTGTATCTCTCGTGATAATTATAATCACTTTTTTTTAAGATTCCTTCATAATCAGTTTCGTACAGGTGTCAAGATAAACGACATATAGAACTTGACAAATAAGTAGGTCGATTTAATCGGTTCAATCGTAAAAACGAATTCGTGTAGGCATGACGCGAAAGGGGAACTTTAGAATTGAACAGCAAGTGGACTCGAGGCACTCCAGGGTTAAATGAATCGACCCGTATATGAGGTCGTTGCCAAAGTTACGTGAGCGCACTCGTAGTCAAAGCGGAGCTCGCTTATCTCTTTGGTTATTCAATTATGACAATTTGATCCGAAGGAGGGTATACGTCTCGCACACCAGCACGCTTTGTACTGATGCGGCAGCGGAGGCCGTTCCGCGATAAATTGAGCTCTCAAGAAGGTCTGCGATTGCCGTATATATGTGAATCGATGTGGAAAAGGTGAATGGGCCTGCAGCAGTTCTGGTGGCGCTGGAGAAGAAAGGACGGCGATGGGTTTCTCCTCTTTCACCCTTCTCTCTTTTTTTCCCCGGCCCTATAATGTACGCACATATACACGTCTGGCCTCGATATGCAAAATCGCTGAATATGGCCGTAAAACGCAGGCGGCGTGTATGCCAATATGGCGAGTATGCGAGATCGAGTTCTCTTCTTCTCTTTCTTTCTTCTTTACGCAGCCGGATAGGGAATGGAAATATTAACGATAACATTTTCATGTACCATAATGTTTTTAAACATTATGATCGACAGCCAATATATCTGTTAATAACCTCGTAATTACTTTAACCATCACTTTATATGAATATTGGCAGCTGTATTCTATTTTTCATTAGATTGTTTGCGATAGCCGTTCGTTCAATAACAATTGCGATTGATCTGAAGTTAAAACACGGAGAAAGCGATACATTCTTATACGTCAAACTTTAGCTTTACTACCGAGAGTTGATCAAAATTTTGGCACGTCCCGAGAAAACGATATATTTTACGTTTCTAAGCGTCCAACCGTTTTCGAACAATCGTTTCTCTGTGTCGACTGAAATGTCTCATTTCCTAAAGGGAACCCAATTTCCGCGCAGTTCCGAACAATCGGGTATAAGACGCGAACGAGACCGTGATTTGCAAACGATTGAATTCAAATTATGAACATCTTGCTAAAGTGACAAAACGAAAGTTCGTCTTTCCTCTTGTACGAGAGGATTTTTCCTTTCTTTTTTTTAGATATTTCGAGCACATTACGAGTGTGGCAACTTGTGAGTAAAAATGCTCTGTTTCTTTAAAACGAAACAAAACAAAATATAATTATATTAAACTTTGAAGTGATTATGAGAAATTTTTTAATTGTCCCTTAACTTGTTTTTTGCACAATATGTATATAAATACCTTTGCCACTAATTAAGTACTTTTTTAAACAAATAACAGAATAAAAAGCTGTGCATTTATATTTTAATCTGTAATCCTTTACATCTTTACATCTCATAGTAGCAGCAGCAATACTGAAATGTCTATCAATTGTAATTTTGTGTCGATATTTTAGAGATAGTATAGTGAAAGAGCGACGACGATCAAATACGATTTTCCTACCTTCTCGCATCCTTCCATCTTATCCGTTTTAGTCTCATTTTCTACTACTTCTCCGATGTCATTTGAAAAAAATCAATATTATTCTTCACATATCTTATTGGTCTTGCCGAAAGCCGCGAGTTTATGAGAAAACGACGACGAAGGAGGAAGATTTTGTGTTCGTCTTCGGAAGAAAGTACAGCGATGAAGAGAGAGCGAACGGATGAGATAGAGGTAGAGCGCTAGAGCTGGCCGTTGTGTGAAAGCGTCAGCACACACGTTTGTATGGTGGGTTGCCCGACAATAGGCATTGTGCACCCGCCATAACCAGGAACCGAACGCGACAGCACCACGCCAGCATTGTCCGAGTGTCAGCCAGCATCCTTCTCCTCTCTCGCTTTCTCTCATTCTCCCTGGCTCTCTCGCGCTCATCCTACATTTCGTTCATTTCGTTTCACTCTTTATAAATCCCTTCTTTTCTCATTTACTCGCTTACCCCTTCATCTTCTTAACATTTTCATTAGGTACGATCTGCGACAACTCAGATGCAAATTAACGAAACTGTCGCTATTCGCGATCGTTATGTGAAATATTTAAGTCGCAGGTTTATCGCGATACCATTCATTCCGATTGTGATACGTGTATCTGATAAGGATATGAATCTTAGAAAGGGTGGGAGCGATAGAGAGTAATCTAGAATGATAGAATCCATTGATCAAGATATATAAGGAGGCTTCAGATAGTCGAACATATAACCCGATACATAACCCGATCGATACATAACTCCGTGTGATTCGTGTAAAGAGTGAAATTAAAGGGAAAAACTTATAAACAGCAAGATGAAAGGTAAGCTTGTTGCTCGAGGGAAACGTGATCAATGAGTTTTACATTCTGGTGAATATAATTGTCGTGTAAATTACATAAAAATAAGTAATAATAATTTTACGAAAACAAGTGGTAATTTAAATAAAATTGCAGATATAATTTTAATATACTTTACCGTAAATTTGTATTTTTACTCGATCCATATAATTTGTAAAGTATAAAATAATAATCACTGTATCTCTAGTGTCACGCGTTCTCATTTTTAAAGCTTAAGTGAAAAATTTACTCTAGGCAGTTTACTTACTTGTCACTAATATTTTCCAATTTATTCAATATTTTAGCAATATTCCTCGTTGCGCTTTTGGTGTGCCTGCTGAGTGTATTTTATGTCCAAGCGCAAAACGAAGTGCGATGCCCAAGCAGAGTGCCAGGTGAAGACGAGGAGGCTATTCTCATTCCTCACCCCACCAACTGCAAACATTACTTCGTCTGTGATTATGGCCGAGCAATTGTGATGAAATGTCCCGATGACTTACACTTCAATCCCATAAAGAAAGTTTGCGATTTTCCATGGCAAGCTGGATGCGCGGCTAATAATTTCTACTTATAATTTCAAGCAATATATCGATGTGTGGACCGCTATTGTATTGTATTACGTTATCACTGCACGACTTAAACGGACGGCATTGTATTGTACATACTTTTGAATGAATAAATTATCCATTAGTTAATATTATTTCGTGTACGTTTATTAGATTAATTTAATCAGTCAGTGAGTAAACGGCAGGCGATATCAATATTACCTGATGAAGGTTGCTCGATAATATGATGATAACAAGTGTTCGTGATAGATCGCTCAGTTCCGAAATCTCCAATTGCGTGTTTTAACTCTGCTAATTGACACAACTGAACATAACGAGGTAAAATATAATTGTGTAAATACAAATTATCTTAATTGCTTAATATTTGTAGAAACTATTTTTACTTCTTTCTTAAAAGATTAAAAATATAACTTTTGAGAGAGAGAGAGAGAGAGAGAGAGAGAGAGAAAGTTTCAATTTAAATGTCTCTTTATTTTCTGTATTCTATCTGTTAGATTTTTTTGTTTTGATATTCATTGTAAAATAAAACTACAAATTACGAAAACTTGAATAAAACTACAAATTACGAAACATTAACTATTTATGAAGTGTAACACAGTAAACAATCTGTAAGTATTGATAATTACAACTTATAAAAGTGCTTGAACATAAGAGCTAATTCATTTGTAGTGTACAATCTTCGTACCTAATTATACGCGAATTCATTATTAATGCGTAATGAAGAAACTATTTCGACGTATTTCAAAATCGAAGATAAGCATTTGATTTGAGATATACAATATATCTCGCATCAAATGATAGCGGAAATCTTCGTGTTGTGCAAACATTTCATCACATTTTAGCATCAGCAGTTTAATGTCAAACCGCTGAATCGTTGAAGTGCATTTTACAGAAAATGTAACGGCAACAAATGAACTTGGAATGGTATCTAATTGGATGTATTTGAATGAGAATAGATCGACGATGAGGAATTTACTACTTGCAACAATGATTATTTAAAAAATAAATACTCTGAATTAGATTAGAAATCTTTAAACATTTTTTCTCACATGTCTTAGGTTAAAACGTAATATGTATTTTACTTCGTGTATATCCTTAAAGCATGCATAATTTATATATTTCTATTTTTTATACTTTATACTGTTTTCACGACATAGCTAATTAAAATCTATGTTACGAATAATGTATTTAAATTGCATTAACGTATATATTATTGTTTTTTACAAAAATGTGTACGTCGATAATAAGCGTATAAATTAAGCCATCTAACAATTTTTAGGATACCTTAAACGCATATAGAAAAGAAGGATGATAAATGGTGGAACAATAGCAAGAAGGATATGGTGAAAGGAAGTACAATGAGGAACGGCAGATACTAGGAAAGACCTCACCATTGAACAGTGACACTTAAATTCCCTATTTCGTTTTGAGCTCAATACTCCGATAGAGTTTGTCGCTTTCATCGCTTATGCCGCTATCACTCTTCATGTTACGTCGCGTCGCGTCGACGTCGCTCTTCGTCCGTCAGTTAATGTCGTATTCTCCTTGCAAAAAGGAGAATGGGAGAAAGAGGCGCGTGAAAGGAAACGAACGAACGGAGCGTCGGACAGAGAACTGCGGAAGCGAACGCGGATCGAGACTTCTTATCGGTACGAGTCAGCTACCGGCTGCCAGCCAGCTCGCTTACGCGCATCTCGTATGTTCCTTTTCATCCCTCGCTCCTCTCTCTTCCACTCTCGTCGCGCTCTCTCGCCCGCAATACCTTTTTTCTTCCGTCACTTCCGTACCGGCTTCTCGCTTTACTTCTGCCATTTCCCACCTTGACACTCGCCGAAATGTATCCGGTCGGTGGAAGCGTCGACGAGGGCGCCGTTAATGGATTCTATTCTGTATCAAATTGGAAACCGATTGGTTGCCATCATTGTCATAAGATGCGCCGCGAAATAGATGTATATCGATGATCGATCCGGGATCGTTTCATCATTTGTTAATTTTACTGGGGCAAAAGAGGATCTGTAATTGCCGAGGCACATTAATAAAAATATACTGAATAATAAACGTCTGCGAATATATTTGCTTTTTTTTCGTGGTCGCATAGACGTGTAAAGATACAAAAATTATTACTGTATAATGTAGTTTCGAAACAATTCTTCATCATCATCATGTTTTAGAAAAGCTGCTAACGATAAATTCTCATAAAACTGTATTTATCCTTCTCACAAAATGCGGATGTGCTTCATAATTACAAGTTCCTATTTTAGCACAAGCTGCATTTAACCTTTACTCATTTGCGCCGTTCTTCTCCGCTGTTTGGAAAATAAAGAAAATTTGGGATACATAATCCACCGTTTAATTTATGTAGCTTGTTTTACCAGGTGGTACGTTCCGTCAAGGCGTTATGCGCGGCAGGAGGCGAGGGTGAATTAATAGCCAGACATTTTTCTAAGTAAGGAAGATAGAGAATGCAAAAGTGAGGAGGGATAACGAAAGAGAAAGAGAGACGTAGTGATTATAAAACGTTCAGATGGCGTGCAAAGAACGCGGAAGCCTCTTTTGCACGAGACGTGCAGTAAGCTTAGGCTTCGTCGGCAGATTACAGTCTTGTTGCGTGTCTCCTTGGACTTGTACATTTATTACATGAGTTACTAGCATGTTTTATTGAATAGTATTATCGCTTTTCAATTGCTGATATCAAACCATGCATTACTCCTTCATTATGTTTTCCAATATTAAAAGTAACAAAATCAAGATTATGACTATAAAATAGAAAATGCTAAATTTCAACTGGCCATTATTCTCGTACTATTCGTAGTTACAGTTGAGCTGCATCGTGATCTTTTCGGGAAATAATAATAAATCTTATTTTCTGCAGTACCGGAAGCAATTTGGCACAAAACATTGAATAATCGACTATCATACTTTGTGAATACTTAGTGAATTTACACTTGGATTGTTAAGATTTGTATTTGTATTTGTGTTAAGATTTGTGTTTGTATTTTATTTATGGTATATGCGCCCAAAATCTAGGAAGGATATAGAGAAGTTAAAAAGCGATACCATAAATCTGGGTCTTTGCGAAGTAACATATTCTGAAAGAAGAATGTACAGAAGGCAATATGAGAATTCAACGCACCACGTCATATTTGTGCAGATAAAATGGCACTTTAACAATATTGGTTTACACAATCCATGTTTAGTGTAGGTATAATATATTTCTGTGTATATATTTGCATAAATGACATATACAGACAAGAAATATATTTTAAAACTATCCCTTCTAACTTTCTGATTGTTATAGAAATTTATGCGAGTTCCAAACTATTAAAATGAGCGATCGTTTTTTCTAAATTTTGAGATATGTGTCTTATGGATAAAACTTTTAAGCAATTTCCATGACGGGGCCGCTTTCCTATAGTAAAATAAACTTGTCAAAAGTATTGTTCTTTTGTAAGACAATTTCAATTTTACGAAAATTGCAAGAAATTCTATTTTCCTGTTCTATATAAAATAGATCCTAGCACGTATTACGTTAAATATTTTTATTTCCTTTCGGTCCTATGCCAGGAAAATACGGATATCGTCGAGCATTGTTGCACGTAGAAGTTCTGTATAATAAGATTCTGTATAATAAGATTATGAAAATTTGGCGTGTCTTTCTTCAGTAGCAACGCTGAAGCCTTATGAGAAGTGCAGATATCTTTTTGTTTGCCATATTACGGAATGAAAAAGTAGAGTAGAGTCGGCTGAACGGCTGGTAGTCGTCCTACGGTGTCCCCGAGGAAATCAAATTATCGATATATGGAACCGATGTGCACACGTAACGTATATATGACGAAGTGCAAGCTGAGAGCACAGGTGGCCGACTGATATTGGTTTTGCTTCCGGATTTGGCGGACACCCCTTACAGCGGTAGACGCAAGCGAGACTCTCTACGAAGGGCAATTACCCCACTAAATATTCACAAGTTCATTACAAGCGGAGTTGGATGCATTCACCCTCTTCCTTCTCACCCTCTCGCTCTTTGCCTCTTGTCTTTACTTTCTCGTTCCTCCAACACGAGTACACATTTTCGAAATAGACTTAATTCCGAAGGATATATTCCTTTCCCTACGACGCAAGTTAATGTTGTAAGTGAAACAATTTTGTTTCGGTAATTAGTACGTAAAAATCCGTGTTTCCCGTGAATATAAACTTTTTTAAATACAATAATTACACGCAAATGCTCAATCGCGCGATAAAATCATTATGAATCATAATATCTCTTGCAAGATAGGAATGAATTTGTGGATGAAGGCGTGGATTGTAAAGTATAAATTATTCGATTATTGTGCGAGAGTGGAAATTGTTCTTTTTTTTTGCAATTCTTCATTGTTGATTGCATAACACGAATAGTTTATGCCTTTCTCTTTATTACGTGTCGCCACAATAAATGTAAAGCGATAACAAATACCAATTTTACTAAAAGACTATTACAATTCTCGAGATTTAATCTTTAAAAATGGGATTTTTTAATCGTCTTGTTTGGTTATTATTTTATTCTAATTACGCAGAAAAATTTCTACTTGTACTCGCCGCTATCGCGCATTTTGTCATTTATTAAGATAAAGATGATGAGGTCACTTTTTAAATCTTCGATCGATAAGTCTTATCTAATCGAATTTTTAATTGTGACGTTATAAATTAGCGATAATGTTGGTTTGGTTCGATAAGATCGTGGACTATATTGTAGAACATTTCCTTTCGATTCAGAACTGTGATATCTTAATACACTGCTGTCGCGGAACCAGGATATTTCATCGCCGCGGAGAACGATATTGAAAAATTGTACATAAAATGACTCTTTTATTTCAATCAGATAGGGATTAACTTTATACGACTTTCGTGTATCAGGTTTTTATATAACACCCTTTATATGCAGGCATGGCTGGAAATCTAGAGCTAACGGCGGTTCTCAGCACGTTGCTCGGACACTCTGCGAGGTTTCCGACAAAAAGCTCATAAAAATTTAATAGATCGTTCGGCCCGAATGCAACGGGAGGCTTTTTATGGCTTATAAATGTTTCGTTTGACCGAAAACAATTTTCTCGGTCCGAAGATCACCACGTAAACTCGGAGCGGTGTTGGTCAGCTCAAT